CTGCTCTAAAGAGCTAGCGTCTCTTGTGCCATCTACTAAAATTGATTCTCGTGTTACTCGTCATTCAGTTAAGTCTCATCCTTTTTCTGTTACTGTTCCTAAGTGCTTCAAAAACTCTTATTCGTCTAGTTTTTTTCCTAGAACATTAGTTCTTTGGAATTCGCTTTCTTCATCTTGCTTTCCTGATTCATATAATTTGCAATATTTTAAGTCGTCTGTCAATCGTTATCTTGCTCTACAATCTTCATCTTTTCTCTTCCAGTAACTTCCAACACTAATAAGTGGTTGCTTGCAACCTTGTTGGAAGCGAAGATAATTAAAAGAAAAAAAAAAAAAAAGTTATGTCCAACAAGAGTGCCTTTTTTCCAATTAAACCTGCTCTCCGATATTTGAAGTTATAGAAGATGTTGAACAAATGATAGACTTTAGATAAATAAAAATGTTTATTTGATAATGGTAGCTAAACATTTAATCACTAACATGGCTGCCTTGACGTAAATAAAAATCTTTGACAAATTTAGAGTGGGTGGTATAATAATGAGTGACGTATTAGACCACGACAATAATGTGCGCAATCGTTTAAGCACTTTAAAATCTTGTTTAAGATTCAACCAACATGATGAATGAACAAGTTTTGTAATTACTGTTTAAAAATGTCATAGATTTAGTTATAAAAAGCAAAAAAATAGTTTATCGAAGTTCGTTTTCATCGCTAAAAAATTATCTAATAGCAGAAAAATTGTTATATCTAATATATATATTTCGCCATTGTTATATCTAATAATATATTTCGCCATAAAGAAAATATTTACAAAATTAGACTTTAAAAACTGTATATACACGGCTGGGGCAAGAAGAAGACAAATTCAGTCTTATCGCCAAGCCCCTTATCTGGTAATCATTTTTTACCATCTGGTAATCATTTTTTTCAATTCAACAATTTACTTGAAAAAAGTCGTATGAAAACGCATTCTTTATTTGATACAAGACCTGGAAATTAGTTGGCATATCGAAAAAACGCTTAAACTTTAAACGTTAAAGATAATTTTAGTTCAAAGGATCACAGAGATATGAAATTAAATTTGCTCAATGTGAAACTGATGTAAAACAATAAAGTTATGAAAAGATAAAGTTGATAGCTTAAAAGAAAAGGAAAATCCCTTAGCGAGCCTTAATCAAGTAAGCTTTTTACAATCTAATAATACTTATTCAACGTGTTCTTTAATTATTTTACGTATAAAATACAATAAGAAGTATAAGAATAAAAAAAAATAAGAAAAACGTTGGTACTGCATGGTTTAATCGAATTTCTTAGAATATTTACAAACTTACAAAAATTCGGGAATAATTACTTTTTATTGTGTGCTTTTAAATAAAAAGGTTTTTTTCTCTCACATTTTTAAATTCCTTAAAAAATGAGAAAAAAAAAATATATATATATATATATATATATAAAAAGTTTTCATAATTAAAACCTTATTTCATAATTAAAGAAATTTTTCTTGACTTTTATTTGGCCAAATAAATTTGTGAATTCTTTACAATTGAAAAAAAAAAATCAAAAAAATTAAAGTTTTGAAATAATGTTCTTTATCATTTAATGATGAAGAAGACGAGAAGGCCACTACAGACGAGTAGGCTACTTATTTGTGGTTATAACCTTCTCTCAACTCTATAACTCCGAAACACGAACCTTGACGAACATGGCCGGAACCACTTGTTTACAAAGCGAGCGCTCTACCGCTTCACCACTACCGCATTTGAAAAATGAAAGTGACAAAAATGTAACTTTAGATTTAAGATAGAAACGAGTAAACATAAAATCCTTTTTTTTTTTTTTTTTTTTTTTTTTTTTTTTTTTTTTTCAGTTTACAATTATTAATCGTAATATAACAATATAACAATATATAAACTTGGTATCTGAAAGAAGATCCAAATGATCTTGTCGCCAGAACCATATAAAAGATATAATACGTGTATATATAATAAAATAAAATACAATTGATCAAATAACTAATAACAATGTAGAAGAAACAAAAAGTGTATGAAAATATTTTCTACTTTTTGGAACCGATAAATTCATGTCTCTAATATTGTATTTTGCTTCAACAATGATTTTATGTACATCTGCAGTGAGGCTGGTGAGCACTTTTTCTCTGACGCCGTAAAAAACATAGTTAATCGAAACAGAATGGTAGCAGAATGTTTTCAAATGTTTAATAATTTCGTTTAAATTAGTATAATTTGTTTATAGTAAAAAAAAATTTTTTTTTGAAAAAAAGTATTTAACATTTAAAAAAATTTGTTATATCATTAGTTAAAAATGCTTTTATGCGCCTACATACTACAACCTACATTTATGCGCATACTACATACTACAACCTACATTTATGCGCCTACATACTACAACCTACACTTAGTAAAACCCTTAGTAATAGTTTTATTAATTACATATTTACTCATTAAAACAATATTCTTTCAAAGAAGTAGTAAAACTTTAGCCGTACAGAATATACAGAATAACTTCAAAAAAGATAAAAAATCTTGTTCATTTAGACCATTAAAAATGATTTTTTTTTTTTTTTTTTTTTTTTTTTCAATTTTTTGCCGTAGAAAGTTACAATTTATAAAATAACATATATAATAAAACAAATGGCTGGAGCAAGAAGAAGACATCAGTTTGTCTTATCACCGAGCCCCATAGTGACTTCATTACAGGTCGTTTTTTACAACAAAATATATAAAATCGTTTGTGATAAAATATATAAAAAATGTGAAAAACTACGTTTTACAATTAATATAACAGTTTATATATAAATTCGTTTAGTAAAATAAATTTAGAACAAGTAAAAGTTAAAAAAAATAAAAGAAATAAATTGTGCTAGTTTATTTTTTACTAAAAAAGAAAAAGAAAATTTAAGTCCGTAGATAATAAAAAACGCTTTGATTCAGATTTGAACTGTTCAAGTGTATTTCTTTTGATAGAAATTTTTTTGATAGATTTATTACTATTGCGATGAATACAAACTCTTTCCCGTGAAAATCTTTACAGCTATATGCACCATATGCAAGAGCAAACTCGATAAAAACCGATAAATAAAAAATAGAGGAAAAGTATCAAGACAAAAAAATAATAAGGCGTCGTCCATAAAGTACGTACTTTTTTTTTGTCTCCCCACTCCACCCGTTTTTGCAATACGCTTTTTTGAGTACCATCCACCTCCCTAAAAGTACGTACTCTTTTAACCTATTTATCTAACATTTTATGATATTTTTTTAAATTTAGTGTTTCTTTTATAATTGACCCCCTTCCCTATCATCTCATATTAGCCATTTGCAGGCCAATTTGCTTGAAATTTTCACAGTATGTTAAACACAAACATAAAATTCATTAGAATTGAAATCCGATTATAGTTAAATCTAGTTATTGCAAAATAACTGTTTATTTATGCTCAATGGTGTTGCTTTTTTTAAATATAAATATGAATAATTTTTTATATAAATGGGTGGGCGAGCCAAATAAATATTAAAATAGTAACATGTAGTTTTTAACATCTTTAAATTTATAGAACTACTTTATAAAGTTCATGGGAAAAAATTACAATCTTTAAAGAATTTGATTTTTTTACCCCTTACCCAGCCAGCAAGTCATATTGGGCTCATAGTGTGCAGTTTTATGGGGCCCAAATGAGTTGCCCACATCCCGCCCAAGGAAAATTGCCGCTGGGCGTGAATTAGAGCCCAAGTGGGCAACCCATATGGGCTGCATATGTGGGACCCACATGGATCCCACTTTTTTATTTATATAATTTTTTATAATATTTTGAATGATAATTATTTATTATTAAATTAGATGCATTTAATTTAATATGTATCATAAATATGTCACGCGAGTCTAGCTTTATAGAAGTAAAACAGGATCTCAAACATAAAAAGAATAAGGTAAACAATAATAAACATTTATAAATATACCACAGTATTTAAATAATAAAAAAATAAAAGTAATTGTCTTATATAAATAAGTAAATTGAAACCTTTTGGTATTGTGGTTTATCCTCCTCCGGCTAGTTGCCATATAGAGGCCACATTACCAAGGCCTGTAACGACAAGTTTGGCTCCCCAAGGAGCGTCATAACCCGCTCTACGAACCAAGAGTATAGTGATTTAGGGAAGAACGAAGATATGTTAGAGTTAAAGATAGAAGTAGTTGAGTTAGAAACATAGCATAGAGAAAGCGGACAGGATTGCGCACGATGTTAGAAGGTGCATTACGTTAATATACACATAATTAACTTAAGTCAAATATTGTATCAAGTCTTAATTCAAACCTTTTTTTAATTAAGTTTAATTAAAACTTTAAATAAAAAGACTTCTTCAAGTCCTACCATTTTATATACATTTTTGCTTTTGAGTTTATAAAAACTCAAATAGTGAATACACTTTCAAAAACGTTTTATACATAAAAAAAAAAAAAATTTCAAATATAATTTAAAATTCTTTTACTACTACCAATATATGACATTGATAGCACTATTACGTCACTATTACGGAGTCTTTAAAATGAGTTGACTTGAAATAAAAAGAAGTTTTTTCAAAAAATAGTTAATTTGAATTTAGTTTAAATTTTGAGAGAAGCTTTGAATCGTTATTACATTTGAGAAACGTAAAACGGTTTTCATAAAGTAGGTTCGGTATTGTGATTTATACTTTTCCAGCTAATTGCCTAGCGGAGTACCTCAAACCATCGGATGATTGGATGGCATTTAAATTGAGAAAACAAGATAAAATTAAACGCTTTTTTAACTTCATATATGGGTCCTAAATGGGCCTCATATGGGCTAGCCCTTGAAAACAAAATTGTGTATTCAAGGGCTAGCCTAAATGGGGCCCATTTTGGGCTCATACATAAAGCCCACATAGCGCCCAATTGGGATAAACCATATGGGCCCATTAGGACATGTTTGCTGGGTAGACACTGGAGGAAAATTTATAGCAAGAAATATAATTTTTATATAATTTTAATTTTTTTTCAAATTTTTACAAAAACATGTTTTGTAGCAGTTAGTGCTCATAAAATCTTTCCAATGATCGTATGCACAACCGTACGCAATGCCTTTACAATACTCGTCTCCGTAGAAGTTTGTACATACTAAATTTATATATACATAAAAAAATTCAAACAAAATATAAATAATGTTTCTATGGAAAACACATTATCAAATTCAAAAATATATCTTAAGTACCTGGTGAAAGAGTGGTTTTTGGTGGCGGTATTGTCGCTCCACCACGACCTAAAAACACACAAAAAAAATTTTAAAGGAAAAATAAAATGTAAACCGTTCATTACAACAATTATATATATATATATATAAATATATAAATATATATATATATATATATATATATATATATATATATATATATATATATATATATATATATATATATATATATATATATATATATATATATATATATATATATATGTATATATAAATTTGTGCATATATTTAACATACCGCCGTACAATTGCTGAATGCGTGAAACATCGTTTTCATGCAGCACAAATGGATCCTGGTATCCTTGATAATATGGAAACATAAGAGAGCCTTGTACAGAAGAATGAGTTAGGCCAATTGCGTGACCAAATTCATGAGCAGCTACCCAAAGCAGATTTGTTCCAGTTGATTTTTTGTCTGTAAAGTGCTCGTCATCATCAAAATGAGCTCGGCCGTCTGGAGGGTAAAAGGCATGCGCTAAAACACCCCCAGGTCCATCAAAATCCCAAGAACACGAAGAATGACGAAGATTTGCAAAACTATGAAAATGTATAAGAATATATAAGTTTTATTTTAATCATTTTTTAAAATCAAAATAATAAATAGCATACTCCATTATAAATTATAAAAGTATGATTCTTTTTAAAAAGAACAATTTTAAACAATATTTAATTTTTTTTTTCATTTTTTGTAATTATCATTTTATAATATAACTATTATAATTGTTTTTCTTAATACTCAATTGGTTTTAATATAACATACAATGCATAATAATAATATAAATGCAAAAAATATAAATAAAAGATAAGTAATATATAATATAAAATAAATAAATTTTAATAAAAAAAATATTTTTCAAAATAAATGTAATTAAAGTTTACTCAATCTCTAAATCTGTAGTTCCTTGGGCTCGTGTAAATGTTAATGGTGTTACTTGCGACCATTTATTAAAGGCTTCTTGCATAATTCTTGCTGTTTCTGCAAGACCTAAATCTGGAGTATGATTAATTATTTTGTATGTTAATTTGGTTTTACTCCATTTAGATGAAGAGTATCCGGAATGGTCGTGATCGGAAATTCCACAACGAGGAGTAGACATTAAATTTAAAGTTGGTTTATCAAGAACACCAGTTTCTGGTAGGTTTGCAAACTTTTGCATTTTTTTTATTGCTTCAGTTAGAGAATTAGGGTTGCTGTATCCAGTTTGCAAATATCCATAACGCTTTAAAAAATCCTAAAAAAAAAAATTCAAATCGAGGAGAGGTTTGATTATTCTTTAAAATGATATTAAGAAGTAAAATATTTTAAATATACCACAGGATCATCTAATGCACAACATAGAGTAAAAAATCCCAATAGAGTTAGCATTAAAAACGTCATTTTGAAAAAGCAAATTTAAAACTGCAAAGATCGCAAGATTTATTTTGTAAAAAAATGTATGTGTTATATAATTAAATGCGTAATATTTTTGTTTATTCAAAAGTAAAGCTATACAAATGTAATGATTTAGGTGATAAAGCAAAAATATTTAAAAGTATATGCAGCTGGAGAAATATTCTGTAAATATTATAGTTAATTTATCCTTTAAATTAAGTTTACAATTTAACTGCATTTTTCTCAAACATAATCTGTTATATTACAAAGAATATATCAAGTGCAATATGTCAGCCATGTTATGCTGTATACGCATATATGTTTGATTTTTTTTAGGAAACTATTGTATAAAAATTGAAAATAATAATTTTATATACTTATTTTAAAATGTTAAAAGGAACTTTTAAATATTTTGGTGCATATCACGTGATAACTAATTATGTAAACATTTTGCCATTAAATTGTGTACATCACGTGATGACTGATTGTGTAACAAGTGGTCTGTCTATCTATGCAAATATATCTTAAATAGTATTTTTAAATATATTCAAATAATAAAAGAAATCTATTTGTTATTGTTTAATCTTTTTTTCATCTTTTTTTCCATTTTCCCATAAGAAACTATTTACTATTTTAAACTTTAAATTTTCTTACTTTAAACTTTTTAATAAAGAATTTTATTATTTTAAATTGATTGGGGTAATATGAGGTTAGATAAATAATATGAGGTTGAATGGGGTATATGAGTTAGATTACCAACGAAGTTCCTGGTGACTAATACTTTTTCAATAGAGTTTATATTTTAAAGAAGAATGACAATATTTAATAATTTTTTTTAAAATAAATAATCACGCTAATCCTATCAGATTTTAAATTTAGATTTTTAAAACTATATTTAATCTAAAACAAATTTTAAACGTATTCAGTCTATTAAAAATTGAAGATCCAAATCATTGAATATTGACCTAAATTAAAACATTAAAGCTAGTACTATTATTAGCTAGCTTAGAGTAAAACTTAAAAAAAATCTTATTATTATTAAGAGTGACAACAATGATAAGACTGCTATCGTTTTTATTTATTTTAATTTAACTTTAAATTGGCCTAAAATAATAGTGCATATAATAAGAAAGAATGGTTATCCATATTTTTAATAGGTACCAAAAATTTGTTATATGAAAGTGTTTAAAAACATTTTATAATAAATACAATAAGCATAAATTTTTAATGGGTAGTAAATATGGCTTCAATGAATAGTCGCTAGAGAATGATTAAGGAGAGTAACAAAGACGTAAAGAAAAGAACTCAGTGCGAGGGTTGCCATTAATTATTATAGAAGTGTTGAAAATATTGCAACAGATATTCAAATCACTGCAAGCTCTAAGCTCTTAGAGAAGGGAGATCATATTCAAGATCAGCAGCCTGTTCTATGCGATCAAAAAAAAAAGATTTTTTGTCAAGATAGGAGTATAAAATGAAGTCTTTAATTCAATTCTTACATCAGACAACACCTTTTTAAATTTATTTCTTCCAATAATAAAAAAAAGCGTTTATTCTTAAGAGAGTTATTTTTTTGAAAAAGATGAAATATATGAATACAATTAAATATAGCAACTGCACAAAAAGATGAAAACCATGGGTTAGAGTAAGGCTTGACTTAAATCTGACAAAATGGAATAAAAGCTTCCACACCTGCCTGGATCCAAGAGGATACGTAGGAATTGCATTTATCATTGGTGAGACAAAAGAAATCGCCTCAATGACCGTCACAAAGAAAATCACAAAAGCAAACAAGTCAGCTTTAAGGTAGTCGTAAATAATACGATGATAGGTAGAATGCAAAAAATTAAGAAATGAAATATTCATCGAGATCATTGCATGGTTGAAACCACCTACAGGAAAACAAAGAGAAACTGAGTACAAGCTAGGGTAAGAGACAAGACACAAATCAAGGAGTAAAGTTAAGTGATTAGGGTTATCTGGAAAACAAGACACTAAGTTAACTATCTGAGAAAGAGATTCAGAAATACAGTAGTTATGAGCTTTAGTGTCACAAGGGTCAGTGGCGCTAAAGCCAAACTATTCAGGTGATGCGCATTAAAGTCATCAATAACAACAATACTGACAGAGGATTAAAAAAAAATAATTAGATAGTGGTGATTGTTTTTTATGTTTAGTATTTTTATTTACTTCAGCCATGGTTTAAGTTTAAAAGAACTTGATTCAAGCATAGATAAATCATGCATCCAAGCAATGAGCAACGCAGTTATCACAGTCTTGCTTATTAATTCCAAATCGTAAATTCCTCTACAATGCACCCCTAAAGCACTAGGAGAAAAACTATCCGTGCACTGTTAATAGTTTTATATATTACAGCTGGTGAGAAATCATTCTCTTTAAGAGTTACCACAAAGATTAAGAAAAATACTACCAGCTAACCTCAAAATCATTAAACTGGATCTTAGAGCTGTACCTTCATTAAGAGATAACACAAGGAGTTGCATAGTAACTATCAAGGAGACACAAGCAAAAATCTAGTAGTAGAGCTAAGAAAATCCAGGGTTCATCATCTAAGGCAGAAAATAATGTAACAAAGGCTGCCATCTACCCCAGTCTATTAGATAAAGAAGGGGTTAGAGGCTTTTCAACAGAATTACTTTGCTTATCCTTAAAGTCTTTGCTTAAGAGTTTTTTTATAAAACAGTAGCTGGATGCTGTTAGCGTCTTCCTAAGATAAATATTTTTATTGAAACACCATCTCTAGCCTTTACATAGCAAAGAACCCCAAGGCAGAGGAATTTTGGTCAGAGTTTATTTTTTCTAGTCTTTACATAGGAAAGCAAATCCTACGAGGCGCCAGGACATCGGACAGGTAGTATCCCTTATGTCCTTCCGGAGTTGATTGCAAAAATCTTGAACCTGACCTGACCTGAAGCAGATGCAAAAACCCTGCATAAATTAAACAGCAAATACTTAATTAATAAATAGAAAGCATAAAAACACAAAAGTAACAGACAGATGAAACTGAAAATAAAATAACTCACTAAATTCAAAAGAAATTATAGATGATCAAAAATATTTTTAATAAAAAACTCTAGACTAACATCTTTTTTGAAATGAATTCTTTTTTGTACATACATTTTTAAAGATTATTAGAAAAATTGTCACCTAACCGTCTTTTATTTCTTGGTGTTAATTTTTTGTCAAATTTGTTGTCAATACAAAAACTCTATATGGAAGTTTTGATACTCTGCTATTAAATTTTGAATCTATTTTTTAGTTATTTTTTTAACCTGATACTTCTTTTAATAGATTAGCACTGCAAGCATCTACAGGAATATTACTTGAAGGGTAGCATGACAACATTTTTTTGTGCGAGAAATTATTACTGACTAAGCAATTAAGCAATCTATGGACTCATGTTTTGTCAATAAACCAGGTGCAATATGTGGGTAAAATAGAGGATGTAATATGTGACACTTTAAAATACTTTTTTTTACGTCAATAATATATTTATTTTATCTTACTTTAAAGTTATCGTCTCAGATATGTGTGTGTCGCCAAATCCTGTCATTTTTCAAATTTTATCGTTGTTTAAAATATTTTATCGTTTGGCAGAAATGAGTGACTTTTTTGAGTATGTAATATTGTATCTCATTTATATTTTGCTACCTAGTTCAGCTATCAGTAATAAAAGAATTCGAACCATATTTCTGATTTGTATAATCATCCGAAAGTAAGTTCTTTTTTTTTGGCATTATTGTCAATACAATAATGTAATCTAGCACAAAAATTCTTCATTCTCAACAGCTTCATTATTAGATTAAAGTACTACTTAACTTACTATTTTAAGATCATGCGTATAAAACTCATTTATTTAGGAAAAGTTAACTTGCGTACAAAACTCATTTAGCCATAACTAACGTAAATAAAAAATCTATAATGTGTGCATGATTTCCAGATTGTTTTTTTCATCTAAAGAATAAGTTAATGCATCTTTATTATAGTAGTCACATATTTAACATCAAATGACTCAAAATGCTTCCGTACAAATATAATAATGAGAATGAAAAATAATATTCAAAATGCTCCTTATGTCTTGGTGCCACATCATTCTGTTTGTGGTTTTGATGAGCTTTTTCAGCAATTTGGGCTTTTTGTAATTATACCAGATACTTTTTTTTTTTTTTTTTTTTTTTTTTTTTGTTCTTTTATTACATGTAAAATAAGCATTTCGTTACAATATTTCAAATACAAATATATAATAATAAATTTATATATAAGTATAATGGTCGTTATTAGAAAATAAAAGAACGCGGGGACTCGTAGAAGACCATACGGTCTTGTCGTCGAGTACCGCTAAGAAATGTTCGTGTTAAAATTTAAAAGATAATTACAAGGTTAAAAAATAAAAATAAGTTAACAAAAGTAAGAAACTTAAAATAATCCATAATAAATACAAAATGCGTTATATCTATTATATATGTAAATTATAGTTGTTAAGGATACACATATACTTTTTATAAGTTCATGTTTAAATAAATGGTAAAAATAAAGATCACAAAAAATATCAGAAGTATATTGTCAAATCATCGATTGCAAAAATGAGTTCTTTAAGCTTTTGTTTAAAAGAAAAGTAGTTACTTTGATTAATAAAATCCTCAGTAAAATTTTTTAAAACTATTTTATTCCATAAGAATGGTCCGCGATAATCAATACAAAGTTTAAAAAGATTTGTTTGAAAATTGGGCTGCTTAATAAAACTATTATTGCGTAAATGTATTTATTTTTATCTTTTGATGAATAAAAATTATGGAAAGAAATCGGGGATGAATTGGTTTTACATTTAAACATAAAACAAAGAATATAAAAAATATTAATCTCATATATATTAAAAACTTTCATTTCAAATAAAAGAGGCTTGGCATGAGTATAACGGTCTTTAAAATATATAAGACGTGCTACATGCTTCTGCTGACAATAAAGAGGTTTAAGTTTGTTTTTATTTGCACTACCCCAAGCAATGTTTGCATAGTTTATGTGGCAATAAATAAATGAGTGATATAATTGTATTAAAGTTTGTTTATTTA